AATCCTTTGTTAAACCACCAAATCAGCCTTTAAAATGCTCAACCACCTCAGACCAGTTGTTGCAAATCAAAGTTGTCCAAGGAGTCCTTGTGCAACCTTAATGTTAATTCATACCAATGAATTAGAAAATCCTTTTTTAAGGATTATGAGTGTTATGCCTTGATAATGTACTAGCAAAGATAAGTTTCATAAACTCATAGTTCACACAAAAATTTTGAAACTAAACGCAAAAAAGATATTAAAGGAATGAAAAACTCATTTTCTTCACACAAGGAGTGCAAAGCAAAAAGAATTTCTAATGTGTCGTTCTTCTAATTTTTCAGCTACTCTCTTATTTTTGTTTGGAGTCTATAGCAAGGTATTTATACCTTGGATTAATTTTAAACCCTAATTACAAAGCTATTTGATAATTGTCAATTAATCCAATAATTTGATTAAACAATTTAATCAAGTCTTTAAGAAGCCTAGTTAACTTAATTGTTTAATTTTAATCAATTAGGCCCTATGACTTAATTAAACAATTTAATTAATCAGGCACAACTTAATTAAACAATTTTAATCAAGTTCTTGAGAAGCTCACAACTTCTAATTTTATTAAGTCCAACTTAATCACCTCTCCCTTTTTATTTTCAACATTCATTTTAGGTGTGTGACCCATTAAACTTTTAACATGTTGGCAATGAACTTAATATATAATTCTTAAATTAAACTTAGAATTAGATAAATTTAAACTATTTTAAATTTATCATTAATCAAGTCAACTACCTAGAATTCATAGACCAAACTTAGGATCTAGCAATCCATCATGGCCACCTAAATGTTAGAAGAGTCAAGATGGTTTGACTCAATCCTTCAGTGATCAAACTTTTAGTGTAATTCATTCCCTAATCATATATCTTGGAGATGATAAGAGCATGGTGTAGTATCTACTCATATTGATTTCCATATTTGTTCTTAAAGTTTGATCATCAACTTTATAGGTACTTATGAAACTCCTTTCATAATCTTTCAATCACCTTGGCCAAAGACTTCAATAAGTTAATATCAACCAAGAACTATTAAGATATGTCCCTTGAATCACTTAGGGTGATGATTCCTATCTTGACCACTCATTTTCCTTTACATGCTTCATGCTATACCCAAAAACATCTTGTTTTAGTATCCTTAGTTAGGCACGCATAGGGATGAAATCAAAGCATAGTACTCCACACATAAAACAACCTACTTTCTCAAGTCTAGGGAGTATTTACACAACTAACATATGAGAAGTATTGCATAGATACTAGAGTGAAATAACAAATGCACTTCTCATGGCTGGTCATGTTCAATGAACTTGTTCTCTAGGCAAGCACCTGTATTCTAGTTCCAAGTATCTCTATACTTCAACCTATGAGATTGGTTGCTTATTTTTTAAGTAAGGAACATAGAATGTACCACTCTCTAGGTATCATTGATATCTAATCTCAATGATACATCCACCAGGAACATTTACAGATTATGCTTTGATATATAAGGATCTCATAACTGCAACCCATTACAGTTCTCTTGCAAGGCATATTAATCTCATAGATTTCATCTAATTAGACTTATAACTTGCTATTGTTGAGATTCGACCTCATGCTCAAACATAAAAATAATAAAAAAAATATAACGTAGTAAAAAAATAAAATAATATTTAATCAGAGAAACAGTCGAATCGTACAAGATCAATGTTTGTGTTTTTCATGTAACTTTCAAATAAATTATAAACACTCATAAGTTTAACAGTTACATACCTTGCTCTAACTATCGTAATTAATAGCCAAATAAATCCAAAATATTTACTTTTTCACATTTAGGATATGTCAAACCTTCAGCCACCCAAGTGTTTGACCTCTAAGAGTAATCTACACAGTGACTGAACAAGGCCTTCTCCAAGGTAGGATTTTACTTGTGCTAGCAAGTTTTGTTTCTAAAACAAAAAGACTAAAATTCTTGCCGAATCTTATTTTTGTCAGACAAAGAAAATTATTTTTCTTTTCTTATTTTATGAAAAGGCTAAAAAGTGGTTTGAGGCTCCAAGTTTTTAATTTGCTAATATAACATATTTATATAACCAATCTAATTTGTAACCCTAAATACAACAGTTGTATTTTAATTTAATTAAGTCTCTGAGAACTTAATTAATTTTTCACTTTATTTGGTCTCTTTCAATTGAGTCCAACT